TGCGCTGCTCTCTCGCGGAGAGCCAGACTCCTCTGGCCGTGGCCCAGGAATGAGCCCGTGCCCATCGGAAGGGCCACGTGGCAGCGAGCGCCGCGAATGCTGGGAGACGCTGTCGCCCCAGCTCTGAGCGTGCCCTAAAGGAACAGTGACGGCAGCTGCGCTCTCTCTCTCTCTCTCAGACGCTGACGAGAGAAGGCTTCGACTCCATCGCCAGCAGCTGCGAAGAGCTCCTGGCTTCAGCTTTGCAGGAGCTGGAGGGCAGTGGCAGCGGCAGCTCCGCTTGCAGTAAGCACGTCCACTACGAGCAGAACATGTGCCTGTTCCTGTGGTCCGAGAGCGCCGGCGACCTGCCCCCCGACGCCGCCTGGGTGACCGTGGCCAACCGGGCTCCGGCTGCCGGCAGCGGCCTCTCCATGAAGGCCCGGGCCGTGAGCCCCTGCGTGCAGGGCTTCTGCTCCGCCCTAGATGCCAAGCTGAAGGTTAAGCTGGATGACCTCCTGGCCTACCTCCCCTCCGAGGAGAGCCCCCCGCCGCAGGCCAAGAACTCTGCCTTTGACAGGTACGCGGACGCGGGCACCGTGCGCGACCTGCTGCGGGCGCAGTCCGCGGTGTGCATCGGCCGCATCACGGGCCGCATCCAGGCGGAGCTGCGAAGCATTGAGGAGGCCGTGCAAGGGCAGCAGGCTGTCCGCAGCGGGGTCCAGCTGCACGCCGTCCTGTTCATGGCCAGGCTCTGCCAGTCCCTGGGAGAACTGTGCCCCCACCTCAAGCAGTGTATCGTGGGAAAACCTGGGAGCCCCGAGAAACCAGCCAGGGAGCCCCGGGCTCTGAAGAAAGCAGCCAAGGGGAAGGGTCAGGACGCCGCTCCCACGCAGGCCGAGTGGCAGGAAGTGAGAGAGATGCTGTTACAGCAGAGTGTGCAGGGCTACCGGGTGTGGAGCGCCGCGCTCGTGAAGGTGAGCCATCCCCGCCCCGCCCGGCCCCGCCCGCCCCGCCCCGCCCCACCCCGCCCCACCTTGTGCAGGCCCTTCGATGGTATGGGCACCTGCGGCTCATACAGTAACTTCCTCGCCCTGTCCACGCGTGCCCAGGCCGGCTTCCTCCCGTCAGGTCACAGTGACGGCCTCTGCCTGGCCGAGAGCCCCTGCTTGTGTTCCCCGGCCCGAGTGCCGCTCTCCCTTCCTCTCCCCTGCATCTGATGTTTGGCTGATTAGCAGCAGGATTCCCTCCTCACGCCCGTGATTGGCCTAAAGAAGTGATGCTGGCCACACCCCACCGCACGCGCAGCGCCACGGCTCAGGCTGTGCCAGAGATCACAGGGTGTGCCGCAAGGTGCAGGCCCTTCCAAGGCTCTGGAGAGCTCACGGGGACATTTGCCTTTTATCTCCAGGTCTTGACTCAGCGGTTCGCCCAGTCATTGCTTCTAGATGACGCTGGCTCCGTCCTGGCCACGGCCACCAGCTGGGATGAACTAGAGATTCAGGAGGAGACCGAGTCTGGCGGTAGCATCACATCCACGATCCGGCTGCCTACACAGGTGAGCAGGTTGCACCGTCACAGGAGCCCTGGGCTGACCACGGGGAGGCTTGCAGTCAGGCCACATCCACTGTCTGGGCCGCGTCAGGAGTGGCTGGCCGAGAAGTCACTTCGTGAGTCTGCCTTGGGGTGGCACGCGCTCTGTGCTAAAGGGAAGCACTGACCATAAGGTGACAACAGCAGCATCACACAGGCCCGCCTGCCAGGCCACCCCAGACCGCGGAGGGGATGACGGAACGGGACACTGACCACGGCGCTTTGTGTCTGTTAAGTGGGCCACCTGCCGATGCCTGGCTGCCGGGGCCAGCTCCCGGCACTCAGGCCTCGTGAGGACGAATACGTCCACTTCTGCTGTGAGCCATGGCCGTGGCGCGGGTTAACAGCGTGGCCCTCTCTGGTCTGTTCTAGCCGTCCTGGTACGTGCAGTCCTTCCTGTTCAGCCTCTGCCAGGAGATTAACCGGGTCGGGGGCCATGCCTTGCCGAAGGTGACGCTGCAGGAGATGCTGAGGAGCTGTATGGCCCACGTAGTGGCTGCCTACGAGCAGCTCGCGGGAGAGCAGCAGAGGAAGGTGGGTGTTTGCCCTCGGCGTTCTCCCGGGCGTGGGCGCCCACAGCAGGGGTCCGGGTGTTTAGAGAGGACGCAGGCCAGGCCTGGGTCCTGTGCGGATGCTGCGTCTTGTCGGGAGGGCCCACCTTCCAGCTCCACCGTCCCATCACCCGCTTCTCAAGGGTCAAACCGACCGCGCTTCAGAATCGTAGAAGGTCCAGCCAGTTGCCCACCATGGGCTTTGGGCAGATCATGAACCTCTCAGTTCTCAGGATCAAATGCAGACCTCCTGAGAACGCAGCCCCCGCCCCACCCCACCCCGCCCCGGGGTGTGAGCTAGGACCCTGTGAAGCTGGGCAGGCACAGGCAGTCACTGTAGGGGCCCTCCACTCACTCCCCTCCCGCCTCCGCAGGGCAGGCTGCCCCGTGCGGATGCCCCTCTGCTTAGTGACATCTGAGAACCAGGGGCAGTGGGGGTTGGGGAGAGCTCACTGTCCGCTCTGCTGAGCCGCATCAGGGCCTCTCCTCCAGCAAGGGGTTGTTTCCCCTTTACAGTGACCTACAGCCCCTGAGGCCACTCTCAGATGTTCTAAGATGCTTTTATTTATTTTTTAAGATTTATTTATTTACCTGAAAGGTAGGGGGACAGAGAGAGACGGATCTTCCACCTGCTGGTACACTCCCCAAATGGCCACAACAGCCAAGACTGGGCCAGGCCGAAGCCCAGAACCAGGAACTTCATCCTTGTCTCCCACATCCCTGCTGCCTCCCAGGCGCGTCAGCAGGAAGCTGGATCAGAAGCAGGTTGGCCAGGACTCAAGTAGGCCCCCCACTGCGGGGCGCAGGCATCCCAGGGGGCGGCTGCACGGCCCACCCTGCGGCCTGTTGTCAAAGGGCTCAGTCCCCTCCCTGCTGTTAGCTTTTCCATTTTAAGACCAAGTTTCCAGGCCAGCGCTGAGGCCTACTAGGCCAAGACTCCACCCGCAGTACTGGTTCGAGTCCTGGCTGCTCCACGTCAGATCCAGCTCCCTGCGGATAGGCTGGGAAAGCAACAAAAGATGGCACAAGTGCTTGGGTCCCCGCAGCCACATGGGAGACCCGGAAGCAGCTCCTAGTTCCGTTCCAGGCTTCAGATCGGCGCAGCTCTGGCCACGGCAGCCATTTGGGGAGTGAACCAGCAAATGGAAGACCTCTCTGTCTCTCCCTCTCTCTGTAACTCTGCCTCTCAAATAAATAAATCCTTAAGAAAGAAAATGAGAGTTAAGACAGGTTTCTAACACAGCCTAGTTTTGTTGTGGGAGTGAGAAAGCGGCTGCTTAGCCAGCACTGAACTGCTTCTCCTGATCTCCCCTGGCTGGGCCTGGGCATTCGTTTGCAGAAGGAAGGTGCGTTCCCAGTGACCCAGAATCGGGCACTGCAGCTGCTGTACGACCTGCGCTACCTCAGCCTCGTCCTGACAGCCAAGGGTGAAGAGGGGAAGAGTGGCCGAAGCAAACCGGACTCCAGGTGCCGTGTCCTCCCTGCTGGGCTCTCCGAACATAGTCTCAGCTAGAGGTTTCTAACCTTAGGAGGTCATAGACACTTGCGTTCAGTAGAGACCAGACTTGATTCTGAACTGTGATCTGGGCTGTGCAGGCCAGCGCTCGTGCTGTGCTGGGCGGTGGCAGTGAGGCACTGGGCGGTCCACACTGTACCGAGCCAGGACGGCCAGCAGTTAGGTGCACTTAGGGCACTCCCCGCCCTAGCAGCGTAACCCGCCCGAGGGTGAGGAGCTTCCGTGGCCCGGCCTATCCGTGCTTTACACAGTGCGTGCTTGTTTCTGGCAGGGCAAACGGCCACCTGCTGCACACATCCATGGTCAGGCCAAGTCCGGGGACTCCCACTCCTCTCTGAGGCAGCCCAGCTGAGCTCGGGGTGCCCTCCCCAAAATCAGGGCATGGGGAAGGAACGGCCTTGCTGCAGGTGAACCCTCTGAGCACCATCAACAGTGACGAGTGGGAAAACCAGCAATTCAGCAGAACAAATACCGTTAGGTTTTTTATCCTAAAAAAGTGTGGGGTATCATGATATTAATCTTCTTCCCAGGATTGAGAAGGTCACTGACTACCTGGAAGGACTCATTGACCCGTTTGACCTGGATGTGTTCACGCCACACCTCAACAGCAACCTTACCCGCCTGGTGCAGCGAACCTCTGTAAGTCAGGGCAACGTGCCCACGGGAAAGCGCGCCCCGAGCTCAGCTGACTCCTGCCCCGGAGCCCAGGACGCGTGCAGCGTGAGGAGGCGTTAGCTCGTGTGGTCACGGGGCTGAAAGCACTGGAGGGTCTCAGATGCTGAGGCAACCCGGGCTGACCACTGCAGTCCTGGGGAAGGATTTAACGCTCCGCCCGGGCCTCAGCAGAGAAGTAGAAGGCCTGCGGGACTGAGACTGACTGGGGATGGCAGTGAAGTCACTCTCAAACATGGACACCCTCAACAGCACATAAAGTAAAACAGCGTGGAGTTACTGAGGTGGCGCTTCCCTCACGGTGTTTCCTGTCAGGTCCTGTTTGGACTGGTTACTGGTACGGAGAATCAGTTCACCTCGAGGAGCAATGCAGTCAACTCCCAAGAGGCCCACAACATCCTGCCCCTGGCATCCAGTCAGATCAGGTAACCGCGGCCCGGATCTCCCGCACGGCCCCAGCCCGTCCCACGCGGGCACCACTGACGTCCTTCCTCTCGTCTTGGAGGTTCGGGCTGCTTCCCCTGAGCATGACAAGCAACCGCAAGGCTAAGCTGACCAGAAGCGTCCAAACCAAAGCCCAGGTCAGTGCCAAGAGCAAGGGGTTCATCTGTGTGCATCCCGTCCCTGTCTCCCACCAGGCCACCCAGTTAACTCCTTTTAAGCAATCGATAAAGAACTGAATGACAGAATACACTAATGATGCTTTTAATGGCGACGCAACAGAGAAGTACAAGGTTTTACTAGCTTGAGCTAACAGAAGTTTTAAAAGATGCCCATGTGGCCTCCCAATAGAAAGGTTACCTAGAAAATACGCAGGGCAGGGTGGAGACGCAGCTGCCCGCACAGCAGCGTGCCTGTTGACTTGGAAAACTTGGTTCTGGTGGTCGGAGTAGGACCCTCCTGACTTGTACTTGGTGGGAAACAAGGTTGCTGCCTGAAGTTTTACGTTTTCTTGTTCACACACGTTTTGTTCCAGTAGGATGCCATCCATTAAGCCTGCAGGAGTCCTCCTTGGTATTTCTGAACGGTGTTGTGTTTGTGTGTCTTTGAGAGCGCAAACGGCTTGTCTCCCTACAGCGTGTAGTTGTGTTGGCTGTACTGTTAGACAAAACATTAGCAGTGTGTCCCTGCCATGTTCCCTGCCATAGACCCTCAAGAATTCTCATCAAACATCTGGTTTTAAAATTTGAGAGATGGCAGTGGAAAAGAAAATGCTTGCTAGAACCACTCACCGGGTAAGCACAGGCCTTGCCGACTGCCCTCCACGCCGCGCCCCACCTCACGCGGCCAGCCTTACGTTTTATCCGTGCGCGAGGCGGCGGCGCGGAGGGGCCGCCTGTTTGCCCTTTGCCGGCGACAGTCGTGCTGTTCGCTAAGTCCTCACATCTCGACACACAGCAGTCTGGACCGAGCTCCCCCTGCTTCTCAGCTCCCCCGTGTGCGCTGTGTGGACTCCGGGTGCAGGGGCGGGTGAGGCGGGAGGCTCGGGAGGACTCCGAGTGCAGGGGCGGGTGAGGCGGAGGCTCGGGTGGACGTTAAGGCACTTTCCTCTGCATCCCACGGCAGGCTGACCCCCCAGCGCTCTCCCGAGCGGAGGACCCGATGACGCACGCCGGCTCCCTGTTCAGACAGCTCGTGAGCGAGGAAGACGACACGTCTGCGCCGTCGTTATTCAAGCTTGGCTGGCTGTCCAGTATGACTAAGTAGCCTGGGAACATATCCGCCTCTAAATAAATACTACTGCATCACTTCTAAAGAGGCCCCCGCTCGTTTGTCCGTGGCCACACCAGCCGTTCCAGTTTCGAGGAGGGAGTGTAGCCCCTAGCTCCTGCCCGGGTCGCTTTAAGCACAGAGTGAATCCCTGTGCAGGAGCTCACTGTACTTGTCAAGTCTGCATCAGTGCAGATAGCGTCTGCTGCTTATCAGCGTGCACCAGTGCCAGACCATACAGGCTGCTGACAGAGCAAGTGCGTGACACGCACGTCATCACGCATCGCTCGACTGGAGCTGTGCCGTGTTTTCTCCCAGTCTGCGGTGCAGATGGGGGCACTGACACAGGAGAGATCTGGGTGCCCCAGAGTCTGAAGGAGATTCTCCCTGGAAGTCGACGCGTAACAGGCAGCGGGAGGCCGGGAGGCCGTTCCCGGGGAGGGCGCTCACACAGTCAGCCTGGGCGTCCTCTTGGGAAGCAGAGTCCTTGCAATAGCACGTCTACACACTAAGAGGTAGTATGGCAGTTAACTTCAGTGCAAGACTGAATCAAGCTCTCTACATTTTGGAAAAAAGGTATGTTTTCTCATGGAAACTAGATACTCTTTACTAGTTTATTGAGTTAAAAAATTGAAGATCCCGCATTTTTAAAAGGCCCTTTTACATAAAGTAGAATTCTACTTGACAGGTCTGGCGATCAGTCTGAACTGGACATACTATGGATACAACACGCAGATGAGACTTCCTTATACCACTACCTGGAAACGGACCTGATTCCTCCCTCAAAAGAATCTTATAAAAAATTGCTTCAAAGCCCCTTTGAAATTGCAATAGTGCAGCAAAACCACAAGTAAACAACTGCCTGTTAACCTGTTATTTCAAATATAGACGGAAAAGCCAACAGGCATTTTGTGTGTGTGTGCAATTTTTTTTTAAACAAATCGTAAGCTGAAAAATCTGCACAGCACTGTCCCTTCACAGAAGGCAGGAAGCCGGCGCGTCATGTCGGAGGCCGCCCTCGGTGCTGCAGGCTGTGGAAGTGCGCCTCCTTCAGGGTCTGGTTGATGTGGAAGTAAGGGCCGTGGCACAGTGCAGACTGCTCGGGCACGGGCTGAGGGGTGTTGGGGCTGGACCCCGCCATGCTCTGGCTCAAGCTGCTCTCAGCCCCGCTGGCCCTGTCTGGGCTGTGGATGCTGCTGCTGCTGCTGCTGCCGCCGCTGTCACTGCTCGAGGACTGGAAAGGAAAGAAGAAGCGCTCAGACGCGGCTGCAGAGCCCCCGTGGCCCCCTGTGCACAGCAGAGCTGCTTCCCGCTCGGCTTCACACACAGATCCATTCACCTAAGACCTCTCATTCCATCCTCACAACTACCTGGGCAGGCGGAATGCATTTACTCCCCCTGCACAGCCCTGGGAGGCAGCAGGGACTGGACTCAAACTCCACATCCCTTCAACTACATCTGTACACCTACTACTCTACATCTGTCTGCTTTCACCATTCATTCTGGTGATGAAAATTCTCAACCTCCAAGGGCAAGGATCAGTCCTGGGTACAGGTGTAAAGTATAGCCATGACATAGAAGGCTTCTGGGCACAAGATAGAAATGACACCCCAAGGCAACCTGTGATCTCTCATCACAGACACACAATGACGCTCGACAGCTGCAGAACACACACAGCTCAGCGCTCTGCTTGGGTGGGTGTGCGTGTGTGTGCACAAGCGAGCCTCACTTTTTCTTGGATGAAACTACGTGACCTGGTCTATTTGTCACCAGGAAGAAGCTACTCAGTAATGCCAGATAAAAGGAACTTGAAAGGGCCAGCGCTGTGGCGTAGTGGATTAATCCTCTGCCTGCGGCACCAGCATCCTACATAGGCACCAGTTTGAGTTCTGGCTGCTGCTCTTCCAATCCAGCTCTCTGCTACGGCCTGGGAAAGCAGTAGAAGATGGCCCAAGTCCTCGGGCCCTGCACCCACGTGGGAGACCCGGAAGAAGCTCCTGGCTCCTGGCTTCGGATAGGCACAGCTCTAGCCATTGTGGCCATCTGGGGAGTGAAATAGCAGAAGGAAGGCCTTTCTCTCTGTCTCCCTCTCACTGTAATTCAACCTCTCAAATAAATTTAAAAAAAAAATTTTTTTTTTCTTGACAGGAAGAATTAGTGAGAGAGACAGAGAGAAAGGTCTTCTTCTGTTGGTTCACCCCCCCAAATGTCTACTATGGCCGGCGCTGTGCTGATCCAAAGCCAGGAGCCAGGTGCCTCCTCCTGGTCTCCCATGCGGGTGCAGGGCCCAAGTACTTGGGCCATCCTCCACTGCCTTCCCAGGCCACAGCAGAGAGCTGGACTGGAAGAAGAGGCGCAACCGGGACAGAACCGGTGCCCCAACCGGGACTAGAACCCGGAGTACCAGCACCGCAGGTGGAAGATTAGCCTAGTGAGCCGCAGCGCCGGCCTCAAATAAATAAATCTTAAAAAAAAAAAAAAGTAACCTGAAATTCCTGCCTTCCAACATTAGGCATCCCAAAAGGTAAGGTAAAGCTAAAGAGTCCTTTCAGAATTATAGTATTTTACAGTTTTAATATGGCATTTCTAATAAATGACAATGCCAATAACCTGATTAGCAATTCCTGTATTAAACTCAACATAATAATGGAATAGAAGAAAGCAATGCCTGAGAAAGTTAGGACTGTAGTAATTAATCATCTGCTTTATGCCTTTTTAACTTGGCTTTTGGATACATCCAAATTCATGCTCCCTTAAACAAAGACACTGGCTTTGAAATGTCCTCTTACAAACAAGTAAAATCTACACATCACAAAAATGACTTGGGGGCCAGCATGATGGTATAGCAGGTCAGGCTGCCAAGTGCAATGCCTGCATCCCACGTGGGTGCTGGTTCCTGTTCCCATCCAGCTCCCTGCTCATGGCCTGGGAAAAGCAGCAGAAAATGGCCCAAGTGCTTGGGCCCCTGCCACCCTCATGGGAGACCCAAATGAAGCTCCCGGCTCCTGGTTTCAGCCTAGCCCACTGCTAGCGATTGCAGCCACCTGGGGAGTGAACCAGCGGATAGATCTCTCTGTTGAATGGAGGGAACAGCACTGTGGCACGGCAGGTTGAGCTGCTGTCTGCAGTGCCGGATCCCATGTGGGCACCAGTTTGAGTCCGGCTGCTCCACTTCCCATCCAGCTCTCTGCTGTGGCCTGGGAAAGCAGTGGAAGATGGCCCAAGTCTTTGGGCCCCTGCATCCATGTGGAAGACAGGAAGTTAATGGCTCCTGGCTTCGGCCTGGCCCAGCCAGAGCCATTGAGGCCATTTAAGGAATAAACCAGCAGTTGGAAGATCTCTGTCTCCTCTCTAACTCTGTCTTTCAAATAAGTGAATAAGTCTTTTAAAAAAAATGGAAAAATATTACTGTTAGAATGAAAAGATTATGGTTGCTCTCTATAACTTTTTTGCAATGTGATCACAGAGTTTCACTACAATCCAGTGATTTTTAAACCAAACTGTAGTTGTTTCTGAGCCAAAGGTTAGCTACATCTTGAGAAGATGCAAAAAAGAAAAAAAAAATTAACAGCAAAGCAAAATTCACAAAGCATCCATCAGTAATAAACCTAAGACTTGTCATGGTCCACATGTCATCTGGAGCCACTGTTAACATAGGTCACTGCGCGTGGGTAACAGGCGACAGCCTGCCCACAGTCAAGGAGGAACTTCACAAACATACTCTAACACGTTGCTGGAATGAAGTCAGATGGAAGGTCAGCAGCAGAGTTAATTAAACTGAAGATAAAAGAGGTCAAAATCAATTCAAGATCCAAGCTCTGCCCCACAGGCCTCTCCTGACCTGGTACGACAACCCAGAGCGGCACATGCACCGGCAGTCAGTGTTTAACAAGGAGGTCACTGCACTGGAGGAGAAACCCACCGCGCAGAACGCTTTGTTTCCTCTTAGTCTGTTCTCTTTACTGTTTTTCGTTACAGGCACTGTCTGAAAATCAAGGCAAAACTTGAATCAGTTTCTAGCAAAGTCAAGTTTTCATCTCAAATATCTACTTCACACTTTAATACCAAGGGTAACATTACTCTGAGAAAAAGTAGAAATTCTGTAAAATAAACAGACTAGAAAAAATTTCTACAGTTTTTAAAAAGGGGGTAAATGTAGCTTCTAATTCATTTTTTAAATCTTGCCACTCAACTTTATAGAAACATGTATAAGGGGACTAAAAACTTAGCGTACATAAACACCTAACAATACAGAATTGGTTCCATTATAATACATCCACTGTATACATAAATACAATGAAATTCTATTGGCCAATAATGAAGAGATGTAGGAGTTCTAAAACAGAAAAAAAAGTCTTTAACATTTTAGTTTATACTAAATAGCGTGTATGTCACCCGATATGTTTAATGTTTTTCTTTAAGATTTACACACATATATGTACACCAAAAATAGTCTAGAAAAGATAACAAAACATTTAGGATTTAGACCTTCTGTTTTAACTTCTACTTACTAAAAAGCGCCTACAAAAGTAAGACTGAGGTTTTCAAAAGCTCCTGAGGGCCAGGTCTTTGGGCACAGTGGTTGCCGCCTCACCCAGGACACCTGCATCCCATCCTGGAGTGCCTAGTTCCAGTCCTGGCTCCACTCCACATCCAGCTTCCTGCTAACCCACACCCTGGGGCAACACGTGATGGCTCAAGTCCTTGGCTCCCTGCCAACCACACGGGAGTCTGGGACTGAGTTCCCGGGTCCTGCCTTCAGCCTGACCCAGCCCCAGATCCGGGGGCATTTCAGGAGGGAACCAGCAGGTGGGATATCTGTGTTTCTCTGTCTTTCAAATTAAAAAAAGAAAAAGCTATAGATACTGTCAGTAAGACTTTCGGAAGCCTGCTTTACCTCCTTAACTACTCAAGAACCTGTAAGACCGCCTCAGCTGCCTTCACTTGCACTGAGCAGCCCGATGATATCAAACTATTAAAAACAGCCAACGTAGAGTCCAGGCGAAGGCACTCTGTGTGCTATTTTAATACACATAAACACTACACGTATATTACTGGGAAAGGTAAAAACAGCAGAATCTTTTAGTTCAGTTTCTGCCAATTTTTTAAGCCCCACTGTACATTTCTCTACAACATAATGTGATTCCCATTTTCTGACAGTTCAGGCAGTCTTCTCACATTCAGGGAGACACAGGGAATGTCCACCATCTACAGGTGCACCAGACCTTCTCAAATTTAGAGTAAAACCCAATAGTGAGTAGCAGCAAGCACAAACAAATGAAAATGTTCAACACAGTAAGGAATACTGTTATGTCAAACTTCTTTTCAGTTATTCAAATTTACACGTATTTGGTACGTACTTGGTGACAAAACTAAAAATTCTTACAGGACAGGGTCAACAAAGTTTTAAAGTTGTAGTCAGTCTTGACACTGGCAACCACTAAAGTAACCTACTTAAACAATGCAGTCATTACTTACTTTTAACCCTAAAGGAATAACACTGAATTTTAAGTCTCAATCAGTATCTTAAGGTATACCCAGCACGGGCCAACATCGTGGCACAGCAGGTAAAGCTACCACCTGTGACACTGGCATCCCATACAGGCACAGGTTCGAGTCCCAGCTGCTCCACTTCCGATTCAGCTCCCTGCCAGTGCTCCTGGGAAAGCAGTGGAAGATCACTCAAGTCCTTAGACCCCTCCACCCACATGGGAAACCCAGAAAAAGCTCCTGGCTATGGACTGGCCCAGCCTCAGCCATTGCAGCCATTTGGAGAATAAGCCAGCAGATGATTTCTTTCTGTCTCTCCCTCTGTAACTCTGCCTTTCAAATAAATAAATCTTAAAAAAAAAAAAAAAAATCCAGATATATCTAGCTGTAAAACTGTTTTGTCTTCTAAAACCAAAAGCCCAGGGCTGGCGTGGTGGTGCAGTGGGGTAAGCCACTGCTTGCAACACTAGCATCACACATCAGAGCACCTGTCTGCGCCCCAGCTGCTCTGCTTCAGGCCCAGCTCCTTGCAGCTGTTCCAGGGAAAGCAACGGAAGACAACCTGAGTGCTTGGGACCCTGCCCCCACATGGAGGACCCAGATGAAGTTCCAGGTTCCTGGCTTCAGCCTGGCCAAGTCCCAGCATTGGCCATTGGGGAGTAAACCAACAAACGAAATACTTATTTCTCTCTCTCTTATGGCTCTGCTTTTCAAACACATAAATACATAATCTTGGGGCTGGCATGGTGATGCAGCAGGTTAAGCCTGCCTACAACGCTGATATCTCACAGCAGTGCCAGTTCAAGATCTGGCTGCCCCACTTTGGATGCAGCCCCCTGCTAATGCACCTGGGAAAGCAGCAGAAGGCGGCTCAAGTGTTGGGCCCCTGCACCCATGTGGAACACCTGAAGAAGCTCTGGGCTCCTGGCTTTTGGCCTGCCCCCGCCCCAGCCATTCAGCCACCTGAGAATGAGCCAGTGGATGAAATATCTCTGATTCTCCCTCTTTCTAAATAAATCTTTTGGGGAAAAAAATGTGTTTACCACACTTGGTGAAGCTTTTTACTCTGAATGCCTGGGGAGAAAGCCACTACCTGATGGTACATGGTTGCGCCAACACTACTGCCATCCTAGCATTTACCTTGTTTCACCTGTTCCTGAAAGACAGCAAATTCTGTTACTGAAAGAAAAGGAGAGTCAAAGACTTCGGGCCGAGAAAGCCCATCAGACACAACTCCTGCTGCCAGGACCCTGGCTCCTGTAAACACTCCCGTCGGACAGTGTCTCAGAGCGAGGTGCCACACAGCCCAGCTTCCCTCCTCTCAATTTCCACTCGGACTTAGTGCTGACACACGACCAGGATATTTTCAAGACAAATCTGTATGACCAATCCACGGAGACGAAGGCCACAATCTGCAAAGTTAAAATCCCTTTCAAATCCATGAATAGGAACCAAAAGCAGTAAATGTATGAAGACTGGCAAAGAATCTCTCCAGACAGACAAAGGCGAGTCCTGCTGAGAGACCTGCATGGAAAGGGAGTCAGCTTAGATGGAAACAAAACCTGCCAGGACGCCCAACTGCAGCCCCTCGGAGGACACGGGGCTGCCCCGCACGGCCTAGGCTCTGCAGTGGGCTCTACATGGGGCTGGTGTCAGTCACCTCTGCAATGCTGGCATCCCCTATCAGAGTGCTGGTTAGAGTCCCAGCTGCTCTGTTTCCTGTTCGGCTTCCTGTGACTGAGCCCGGAGAAGGCAGTGGAAATTGGCCCAAGTGCTTGGGCACCCACACGGGAGACCCAGACGGGAGTTCCAGCCTTGTGACTTCCGCCTGGCGCAACTCCAGCTGCTGCAGGCATTTGGGGAGTCAAACAGCAGGTAGAAGATCTCTTTCCTTCTCTCCCCATCACTCTGCCTTTCAACTAAGTAAATCTTTAAAAAAAAAAAAAAGTATTAACACCCAGGGCCCACCCCAGGACCACACTGGGCGAATAGCAGGGCACTGGCTGTCCTCATGACCAACCACTGTGCAAACGTCTTTGTGCACACGATGTGCAAAGAGACATCATCAGGCAGCCCCCACCATTCAGGAAATACCCACTGGGCCTAATCAGCAAGAAAATGGCGCTGCACCCACTGACGATGACGGTCCACAGCCCAGGAGTCTGGCCATGACTGCTGACTGAGAACAAGCTCTCAGCAGAGCCTCCAGGGATGAAGAGGACGTCTAAGAGACCGGGGGGGGGGGGGGGTAGTTAAAGCCCCGGCCTGCGGCACCAGCTGCTCTACTTCCCATCCAGCTCCCTGCTGATGCACCTAGGAAAGCAGTGGAAGATGGTCCAAGTAGTTGGGCCCCTGCACCCACGTGGGAGACAAGGGGTTGGCTCCTGGCTTCGGATCGGCTCAGCTCCAGCCATTATGGCCATTTGTGGAGAGAACCACTGGACGGAGGACTCCTCTCTCTTTTTCTGCCTCTCTGTGGCTCTGTCTTTCAAATAGATAAAATGAATTAAAAAAAAAAAAAAATAGAGATGGGGTGGCAAACTGAGAATTGCACGAGCAGATCCGAAGAGTGTTTGGGGAGGAACAGTGGCGTGGCTGGGCCCACACAGCAGGAAGAGTGGGTGACAGCAAGACAGATTACCAGGAGCTGTGAAGCTTCCCCGAGGTTCTGTGCACATAAGGCATGCTCATGACTCAAGCTGGGCTCATGCCGCCCTCATGGGAGACCTGCATGAAGTGCCCAGGGCTAGCAGTCCCGGGTGTGGCGGCACTTGGAAGGTGAACCAGCAGATTTTTTTTAATTGACTTTAAAAAAAATGTATTTATTTGAAATGCAGGGTGACAAAGAGATGTTACGTCCTCTGATACACCAAATGACTGCAACAGGTAGAACTGAGCCAGGCCAAAGCCAGCAGCCAGGAAATTCACTTGGGTCTCCCACATGGGTGGCAGGGACCCACCACTTGGGTCCTCTTCTGCTTTCTCAGGAACATTTTCAGGGGGCTGAACAGGAAGTAGAGCAGTCAAGACATGGCCAGTGCCCCCATATGGGGTGCCAGCATCACAGGCTGTGGTTAACCCACTGTGCCACAATGCCAGTCCCAATTAATTTTTAAAAGGAAGTAGCCAGTCCCAATGCTGTGGTACAGCAGGTAAAGCCACTGCTTACACCGCCTGCATCCCCTATCAGAGCCCTGGCTAATCCACTTTCCACCGGGAAATCAGCAGGTGACAGCCAAGTACTTAGGTACCAGCTACCCGGCGAGACCAGGATTGAGCTTCGCCCAATCCCAGCCACTGTGGCTATTAAGGGAATGAACCAGCACCTGGAAGATTCTCTCTCTCTCTCTCTTTGGCCTTTCAAATAAATGAATAAGTTTTTTTTTTTTTTTTTTTTTTTTTTTTAAAGGCAATTTAAAAAGACACAGCCATCCTCGTGCTCGGGCTGAGGGTTGCAGCAGCCCACTGGCAGGTTTTCTCACACATCAAGCAGAA